TGAATTCAGTACAATTCGCACAGAACGGTGAATGAATGCGGCCAATCTGGCGTCCGGAATTCCTTCGTTAGTAAGCCCACGTGTTTGCCGCTCTCACTGCGAGTGTTCTATATTGCAGGTTGTTTCCCGCTCTTCGGTCCTCCCAATCATCTCCGTCGCTGTGGGGAAAGAGGATATCATCCCTTGTTCAGGCGAGGTGTAGAATGGTTGGTGTTTAGTACACTCTTCTGAGATAACTAGCTGACGGAGTGAACCCCAAATTCACGAAGATTTGTTGCTCCCTCATAAAACCCAGCAAATTAAGCCTCTTGAATCGTGGCCACCAGTCACAGCACGACCAGGCTGACCCGCCAGACAAATGTTTGTAAAGCGTCAGTTGTGTGCTTCCTAAAGAAAATTCAACCGCTTTGGACTAGCAGTGCCCTCGGGCAAATCACGGATCTTTTTCACAATGATTTGTTTGGTATAGTCTGAACTCAAGCGGGTGAAAATAATGAAAACTAAAAATGGGTTCGACACGTGACTTTGAATAACATCGTACGTCCTCGTAGAGCGTGGGTCTCCTCTACATGTGATTCCTAAGGGACATGAGCTGGCGGCATAACTACACATTTTTTTTCACGTTCATATTGATGACTGTCTGGTACTCCTGTTGACTTTGGCAAAATAAACATTTTCCTAGGCCAAAAGGTCGCAGGATTGTAATTTATCACGTGAGAGTTAATGACTTTAATTCCTGTAGATGTTTCATCCCGCAACAACCGTGGCGCAGTGGTTTAGTCGCTGTGACCGGCGTACTTTGGATTCTTTGGTCCGAGGTTCGGGCGCCGTCACTCTACTTTGGTGGTAGGCAGCTTTACTGTAGCTCAGTTCTATACCACGCCTAATCCAGCGGGGCCTTATGTGGTTCACCACTGCAAGTCGCGGGGCTTAGATTATAGGTTTCCACCACTAAACAGCAGGTCTTCGTAACTGTGCGGTCCAGCCCGTCTGCTGTTCATCACAACGGACCTAATTCATGGTAGTCCACGTACGCTTGTGCTTACGAATACCGGAAATTTATATTTATTAATCTACTCTACAGGTGAAATAAAGAGGCAATAAAAAGTTTTGCTTTAAAGGCCGATTTACGGCCGTTGCTGATATTGAACCATTTGCATCTATTAAGGGCAGCCGTTTTGCTATTGTACTCTTATCGTTTGCTGTCTGACCCATACAAGCACATTATCCGTGTTAACGATTATAGACCGTTAGGATCGGCAGTCCTGAATGAGCCCCGTAGCTGCATGCCAACTGAGCAGCTCATTCACAAACTAGCTCCGGCCATTCTCATGCGTATACTCAAAGGTAGTGGAGTGCAACTGAAGCTAACAAATGTTTCAGACCTCTAAGCATCGGGGATTTGCCGATGGCTGTCATCGAAAGTTCTCGAGGCCGGGCTTAAGTCATGTCCAACACGTACCAGCCTCACTCAATGCAAAAACAATATAATTTCATTTATTCGAAGGAACTAAGATTGGAGTTATTACTTGATGGATTGACTATACCCACCCGGGCATTTACAGATAGAGGGTTTGAATTTCTCTCCGGGACTTAGTACAAACAGGTGCTCTCTGGTTGATGTTTCGTTCTATAAAGCATCTAGAGCCTCGGAACATGAACTTAATCCTGTTTTTACTTCCTTTTACAGGCCCAGGGACTTCCGCCAGTTTTAGTGCGATATTTTGCACCCGGACGCAAAATTCCATCCGATCTCAAGCGCTCCCAAGGATTGCACCCGCTACTTGGCACAAAAGCCAGCTCAGTTGTCGAATTCAGCACTCGAGAACAAGCTTCAAAAGCTATTGCCGTCATCAACCTAAAATGCCCTGGAGCTTATGTTCATTTTTTGAGTAAGCATTGATTTCACTACTTTTTGGAGTTAATTAGATTTCATGAAGAAAATCCTAGTACACAAATCAAATGGCTCAAAAAAAGAAGCACCGTTGTTGTTTTTCGGTGCCATATTATTTAACCTTCGTGTTATATACCGAAATCTCTAGCCCTGATTTTGGAGTTAACAAAACTCATGGATTCAGCGTGGAAAAAGGAACAGGTTCTAACTGAATGGTGCGAGTCGGTGATCATATCGGTTTACAAGAAGGGCGACAGGTCGTCTTGCGAAAACCACAGAGGAATTAGTTTTATTAACATTGCCTCTAAACTTCTCGCCGGCATTATACTCTGTCGATTGTCTGCCACTCGTGAAGAGTGCACACGTAAGAACCATGCTAGTTTTAGACCTGGTCGAGGTTTTATCGACCACACCTTCACTGTGAGTCAAATCCTAGAACACACTCCTTTTGTAGACCCACCATTTCTGTCTTCCTCGACCTGAAAGCGGCTTTCGGCTCATTATATTTATATATTTCACACACGTCTGATGCCAGACTGTGCCAAACAAATCGTGGTACAATAATCTTTATAAAAAGAAAAACGCTCCATGATTTGCAAGTGGGCCGAATACTACCAGGTTGCCCAGGTCAAGGCAGTTTCGACTCAGTCGATCGCTGTAAACTCTGGCACTGACTTTCCCCGAAGAGTGTGCCCGAGAGGTTTATTCCACAATTACAATCCCTCTATACTACCATAGCCGAAGCCGAGTCCAAGCTTACGGCACTTTTTCAACCGAGTTCACTACAGATAGTGGTGTTCGACAGGACTGCCCCCTCTCTCTCTATTTCTATTTAACTTTGTTTTAGATTTATTTCTATCCTCGTGCGGGGATAGCGGCATCGATTTACTCCCAGGTGTTCGAATACCGCTGTCTACGTAACACTGCACGACTCTGGTGGAGAAACTGAACGAGCAATGCTAAGGTTAGGCATAGAGTTTTGGGTAATCGCGGTCGTCCACTGGAACAGGTAGTCGACCTCCGTAGATTGCGCTGGTTGGGACGTGTTACGCATGCCACTGCGAGCTATGCTTGCCGAGGCAGGTAGCGGTTGGAAAAAATGAAGGGCGGTCAATCTAACATTTGGCATGAGGGTATGAAAACCCTGATCAGGATACTGGCTCCCATAAGTCTTGTTAGGCCCCCTGGCTGGGGACCCCGAGATCACGGTTACCGATGGTTAGAGACAGTGATATGGCTGGGTGTTGTAAACAGTGGCTCTCATGCGTCTACTCATTCTTGTAACTTCAGTCTATGAAAATGTGCCATCTTCCGCTTGAATCTGGTCTTAACATCATGATCATTCTGCTGTTTTATCCAAATGGGCAACCAGAACCGGCGCACGAAAGTGCATGGTTATTTGCTGTAAGAACTGAACTGATCGAAATTTCTCGTCCCCATTTATTAAGAATACACGGTTCCTTCACATTCAGTTTACTGATTGTTTATCTATAACACTCATGCGTACTCTGCATTAACTGAACCAAGTAGGTAGTCAAAAAACAATAACTTAGTTTTATGAGATGAACTAAACTACACGGTTAATCTCAAACGGACTGTACAAAAAAAACGGCACCATCGCCTGAGGTAAATTGTAATTAGCCGCTTCTCTCTTCATAAAGTTTGACAGACGAATGGTGGTAAATACTATTGGCTGAATCTTTGGTTATTGCAGTGTGCACCATCTACCAGACGGTCAGCAGGCCTCCTAAATGCCCAGTCTTACCCTGCTGGGTTCATTTACTCGGTAGGTTGATTTTTAACCCCCTCAGGGATCAGTTCAAATCACCTTTCGTCTAAGGCAGTCTTAGCTGTCCGCGTCGTCTCCACTTCCATCAGTTCCACGTGTCCGGTTCACTACCACGTCTCACCTGGCGGGGTCTTATGTAGTTCGCCTCCCCAAGTCCCGGGGCTTTGGTTAGCGGTCTCCATCACTGAACAGTAGGTCTTCATGACTAAGGGGTTCGCTCCGTCTGTTGTTCATCACACAAGTGTGTGTAATAAAAAATATATCTATTCTCACTATGGAAATGAAGCATAGCGATCAATCTAGGACGGATCTTGGTTAGCTTCCTTTCATACCCCTTTGTTCATGTATCTAGGACCTCTTGAAACAAGATTTCCGACCCTTACATTATTTTCGTCCAGGTGGTAGACTGATCTGGAGTATGTGGACAAAATTGGGCCACTCAGTGAAAAACCGGGTAGGTTAAACTTTTCTGGATAGTTTGAATGCCAATGTAGCTATGTCCGGTATGCGTTTTACACCCTCAAAGAGTAAAATGTCATTACAGAACTGGATTGACTCAGCCCCAAAATTCACCCTATCTGTGAAGTAAATAAGCTTTTGCTTTTTGAGCGGCTATCTCACCTGGTGGACGCATTGCGGATGAAGTTTTGGTATGGATACAGAATGTTCTGTTGGCACTTGTCAACTTCAGACATTTGTGATGCCCTCGCGACACCTGGCTATCTGTATAAGATCGAGTATGCGTTGCAGCAGTTCGGCCAGTTCTGCAACCATTGAGAGAACAATCTAGAGAACTACTACCGGTGTTCGGACACAATTGGCCTGCCCATCTCAGATCAGCTGTTACCATAATTCACAGCTACTAAGGTAAAGAGGCCTACTACTACTCTCTACTCTACTGAGCTGCCTTTAAGAGCAGGTGACTTCCCAGTGTTGAGTAATAAATTCCACATGAGAGCCCAATTTAGCGCAACATCACTATCCCTACCCACCATGAACCAACAGTCTTCACATCGTCTTTGAAGAGAAAGCTAGGTGACTGGAGCATTAAGGAGTGATCGTTTATGGACAGCAGGAATATGGTGCGGTGCGGCGTTACTATAGTTCTTCTGGGTCAAGGAGTTACCTAGTCTCACGTAGCAAGTTCTGTTTAGAAATTCGTATCCAGGCCTGCATCTGCCCCTTTGCCGAAGGTTTTCTGGTTGATCAGCAGAAAACCATGGTTTACGCAATAGAACGGTTTACTAAAGTCAAGATAGCATACTTCCAGTTTCCTGCCTTCATCCAATCTGCGAGTTACTTCATCTAGGAAACGGATTGGTGAGACACGATCTAGATGGAACCGTACAGAACCCTATATTACGCGAAGTTCGTTAACGCCTACTGGAGGAGTTGACGAATCCCACGCTGCGGGAGCTCAGCTGTCGAATCGATATTACCATCTTAAGCGACGAAGTGCCCTTTTTTCAGCGGAGCCACTTCGTCCCCAGGTGCCTTTTTGGATTGCATACAGGTGTGACATTTTTTGTGTTGCTGTCCGCCACCAAATGAGTTTGGTCCGGTACCGTTGACGCGAATTCATGTTGAAGTTCGTGCTGGGAATGCGTAATCACTCGCACAGGCTCGTCGATATTGGTTCCTTCGGTGTTTCATGTTACTTGTACTACCGTCCTGTGACGGGGATTTCAGACCATGGCTCCTTAGTTCCTGTCCATCTTGGTGAGTTGCATATAAAGTAATTTTTACTTACCCAAAGGTGAGAATATCTGTTGATCTATAAAGTCAATAGATCTAATAGCTATGGTAGACGGTCAGTTCTCTTTCGTGCATTGTCTGTACTCATTCCAGGGGTGCTCTGTTCAACTACCCGGTCGATTTTTGGCATGCTGAAGCTGGTCAGTAAGATTCCCTCTGATAAGGTCGATCAGGATTCGTAGAAGTCCTAGAAGTCCTCTGGACTCGACTTTGGGAACCTGTACACACCACGTTGACCATTCTATCCGGGAGCGTCAGTGTGATGATACAAACTTGGATGTTGCTAGTACAGACCTGAGATTCGGGGTGGCCTGTTTCCTCTCCAACGAGAACAGTCAATGCACCTCTTAGAAAGTCCTGTTTTTTATTGCCAGTTTCAGTTTTAACAACCATAATCATGCACTTTCGTGCGCCGGTTTTGATTGCTGTCTTTTGGCAGTCCATTTAGATAAAAGGGAAGAATGAAAGTTGGAATGTTGAAAGCAAATTCAAGCGGAAAATAGAAAATTCATACAGATCGGTGCTAAGAGTATAATGAGTATATGCATGAGCGCCACTGCGACACCCAGACATATCGCTCAGTGTCTCTAACCATCGGTTACGGCCCAGACTTCTGGTTAGGGTTTTCATACCCTCATGCCAGGTCTTAGCTTAGCCACCCTTGGCTTTATTGCAACCACTGCCTGCTTCGGCAAACATCGCTCGCCGTGGCAACCTATCTATTAACGTGCGTAACACATGCCCCAAGCAACGTAATCTATGGAGGTCGACTACCTGCTCTAGTAAACGCCAGCGACAGCCTAAAACTCTTGCTCTAACCTCAGCATTGCTCGTTCGGTTAACCGATCAGACTCATGCAATACAACGCAGACAGTGGTGTTCGAACACCGGCAATTTATTTTTATCCTCTCCCGTGGTGGTCAAGTCTCTGCACCGTAGAGCAGGATTGGCCGAACTGCTGCTGCATATAATCGACCCTTCACAGACAGCCGGATATCGCGACGGCGCCACAACTCAACTTGGCAAATGTCAACCGAGCTTTCTGTATGCGCGCCGACACTTCATCTGTGATGGATCCGCCAGGTGAAATATAGCTGACAAGATAGCAAAACTTGTTTATTTCCTCTACTAATTCCCCGATCAGGGTGACGTTGGGGCATACTCAATATATGTCCTAGTCAGTCAGGTTTACTAATCTGAAATCGGTGTGCCAGAAGGTTTATACCTGATAGACACCCAAACATATGACGGCTTATCTCCACGTTACTAACCCGTTCGCTCCATCCCACGTGGGCTAAACTGCGTAAACACCGATAATCGAAAACCTTTAGTCGACGGGTATCTTCTACTCGCAAGTTGAGGGTCTCACAACCATTAAGCAGCATTGAACGAACGCCACCACAATATACACAACCTTTCAACTTCAGTGAAACGTCGTAGATACGACAAAGGTGTTTCAGTCCTGCGTATGCTCCTCGAGCCTTGGAAATGCGGGCGGTTATCTCTTTTTCTGCGTTACCGTTACCGGTCGCGCAACCACCTAAGTAGGAAAAGCAGTCCACCATGACTAAACCGTGGCCATTTAGTTTCTGAGTGGGAGTAGACGAAACCCAGTCCTGAAGGATCACTTTGCGCATTGAAGGTGCAAAGCATATACCGAATGTGGCAGCCGCTTTGCGCGTCCTCCATATATTCGGACAGACAGACGATGTCATCGGCATATTCTAAGTAGCACAGCTTTTCTCCAGGTGTCAATTCAATACCTACGTTTTGGTGCGTTCTGAATTTCGTCTGCGACAAAAATGAACAGGAATGACGATATAGGGCATCCTTGACGAACGCCGCTGCTGGTGACGAACGGCCTGCTCAGTTCGTTGTAAACTTTCACCGACCAGGGGTATGTGAGTATAGTGACGTCAGTAAGTTAACGTACTTCTAGGGCATTCCTTCATCACGAGACAATGTTTCATTTATTGGCAATGTCAACTCCTCGGTTGGACGAAAATCTGAATTTTGATTGCTCTCACTTTGGTGAGATCGCGTACAACGTAGACAATCGCGACTATAAAACCCACTTTTGTCTCGATCACACTTTTCACTTCGTTTTGCTTTGTTCCGCGACTCATTCTCTAGGTGACGGTGCAAAGAAAGCATCCGATGAGAATCCGAAAAAGAAAGAAAAAAGAGAAAAGAAATCGTGAGTTGCCCTTACATATCGCTGATCTGTATTATTATGTTGATCGTTTGACTCATCCTGTATTATGATAACCGTATGATCCGGGAAATCATTTTACTATCGCGATGATAATATTCACTCAGAACAGAGAAATTTTTTAAATTACGTTTGAAATTTTGCAGTTGTGTTGAACAGTGAAGTAGGGCTGCATATTGTTTTAAGGATATAAATGCATCTCACTGAGACAGGGCGGTTTTTCACTATCAGGCTCGAAGCGACGGTGCTTGTGTTGCAAGGAACCATTAGCGACAAACTTCGCTTCCTCGTTTGAAAAAGTCAGATGGGTTAATCCAAGCTTGATACTTTGAATTGATTGGGCCATTCGCACAAAGTTATGACCGTCGACCGTGTAGCTCAGGGTTTGAAATCCTGACCCGTATGTTCGCGGTTCCAGTCCTGATAGGGACACAAAAGGTACGCACTGCTGAGGAGTCCCAAACTGTACGAAACAGCTGTCCAGTGCTCTTTGTTGATTATCACAAACATTTCTATCGCATGTAAGGTTGCAAGTTCGCGAAAAAACAGCAACTGGTGGGTGGGGTGTTCCACAGCTTGGCAGTTTGGGAGGGGGGGGGAGATTGGAGTGGAGAGGTAAGACACCTAGGACCAGAAACCTGATAAGGATGACTAGATGCTTGTGTACGGGATGGGCGGGTAAAATTTGCGGGAATAAAAACTGCCGAGGCAAGTGCCGAAGAACAAAACACGAAGTAGTAGCGGTAGAACAGG